GCTTAAGTCTTTAATCCTAAGGAGATTATATAATCTCCTATCCTTCTAGTGGCTAGTGTGACAAGCCTTAGCCTCGCCTCACTCAGCCCCGCCTATACGTCTTATAGTATTCATAACACCTAGATCCTATTCTTAGATTAATAGCTTAATAGCTTAAGTCTTTAATCCTAAGGAGATTATATAATCTCTTATCCTTTTAGTAGCTAGTGTGATAGGCCTTCGCCTTACCTCACTTAGCCCCGCCTGCACGTCTTATAGTATTCGTAATAAGTTACTACTAACTCTAGTTACTAGTTTCTATATACTTACTTTTTAGACTAGACTTATATATAATCCCTATCTATAAACCCTACTATCTAGTCTATAACTTAATAGACTAATTATATATACTACTCTATCTTTATAATTATAACTCTAATATATAGTTAAAATACTTATAAATAGGCTTATAGTTAACTAGGATTCTAAAGTCTATAACTTTATAAATAATTTAACTAAAAGTAGTATAAATATATATAGAATAGAATTATAATACTTTTATTTTTCTTACTATAATATATTTTACTATAAATATTTTATTAGCCTATATACTTTATTATACTTTTATAGGATTTATTTAATTTTCTAATAGGATCTACTCTTTATTAGTTTTATAGTATAATTAAGAGAAAATAATACTAAGTAGTATAAATTCTAAAACCTAAGTCTCCTTTAAAGTAAAATTAAATAACTTAAGAATAGACTAAAACTAATAAAAGTAAGAAAGTTATTATTTTTATAGTAATTCTAAAAGACTCTTAACTAAAGTAATATATCTTTTTAAAAAAGTGTATTTATCCTTAATTATATTATTAAGAAAAACTAATATAGTTAGGAGTATAAATATTAATAAGTATAATTTAACTTTTTAAGAAAATAAAATATTAAATATATTAAGGACTAGCCCTACGGCTGCTGCGAGTAGGCGTCGATATGAGGTTAAATTAAATCTCTTACGGAGGGAAGAGATAGGGAAGTTATAACGAAGTGGCTACTATACATAAGGGGGAGTCCCCCCTATCGGGTCCGTGCCTCAGGCCACTAGGCTATCAATCTAGCTGGGCTGTGGCCTAAGCTCTTATAAAATATTATAAAAGAATTAAGCTATTAAATTAATTAAGACTTACTTATTATTATAGGACTTATAAAGAATATAAAAAAAAGTAGAAGAGATTATTAATTCTTATTCTATATCTTTAGACATAAAGGCTATTTAAATAATTAATATTAGCTAGATTTTCTTTAAGTTACTCTATAAGGTTTTTTAAAATCTAAGGGAGGGGTGAAAGTCTCTAATATAATATATATTTTCTTTTATTCTATTTTTAGATTTTATTAATTCTCTTTAATCTTTTAGTTTAATTAAAATTTAAGATATTTAGATTAATTTAATTTCTTCTAATCTAGTTCTATTACTTTGTATGTTTTCTTTTTAAGTAATAAAATAGTTTATAGTCCCTTGTATATTCTTTACTTTATTATAGCTATATAATAGACTATTTATATAACCTTCTTTATTTATTTAGTTTATAATACTAAAGGATAATAGAATAACTACTCTATACTTAGTATAAGTTTATAAAGAGAGTAGTTTTATAGTATAGAACCCTACTATCTATAAAGTAATTATTAGAAAAATCTAAAAGAAATCTAAGTTTATATATTTTAGTTTAAAATAGAGTTAATAATATACTATATAAACTAAGGGTTTTTTAGTAGTAGATTAGTAATAGACTAGTAAAAACTCTATTTAGCTAATTCTTTATAATTAAAGTATATCTATAATATTATTAATCTAGCGTTTAAATCTATAGTTAATCTAAATAGTCTCTAGAACACCCTCTATTTATAATAACTAGTAACCCTAAGTAAACCTTTTATTAAATAATAAACTATATACTTTAAAATATAAACTTTCTACTATATAGCTAAACTTATACTTTAGAGTTAAAGTTACTCTCTTTACCTACCTACTATTATACTATTATATTTAACCCTTTAATCTACTTTTAACCCTACTCTACTACTCTAGTTTATACTTTACTGTACTTTATTAGTACCTCTATATACTATTATTAACTACTAGATATTCCCTAGCTATTATTTTATTACTCTAAACGAAACCTCTCTAAAAGCTTCATTTTAGTAACTCTTAGCTAATCTAGACCTAAGAACATACAGGCTATATGTCCTAGATATCTTATTTGCAAAACTCGAATGATAATAGCAATTTTTAAATCGTAGTGGGGCAGTTCGAGAAGGATTATGATTCTTTTTATATATGATGGAATGCTAGCGCCTATTATGTAAGGTTGACTACATTTACAACTACTACCGCGTCGACTTGTAGGTAAAGGCATACAGAGCCTCACCGTGACGGGCTTCCAGGGCCTGTCAACTAGCCACAGCGACGTCGCCAACTATATGGAGTGTCACCGCCTAAAACATTGGGCGAAGCTGCTAATGTTACGTCGGGCGGCAAGTCCAACACCAGGAACGAGAACGAGATAGATGTGGAGAGCAATCTCAACACACAAATCGCGCTCTCAGTCGACCGCCCGTCACGAGAGCTCTCGTACCAACCGGAAACCAAACATATTTGTAGCGACCTCGCTAGAGAAGTATGCACTGCGATAGTTGATTCGCAGATTCTGCGGTTGATAATTCCAAGCGCCACCGCGCACGACAGGGAACGGTGCCGTACCATTGTGCACTGAGCCATCATTGGCACTACCGCTAAGATCCTGTATCCAGGTATCTGCGCAAAACTCCCTGGCATTTGCGGTGACGTCGTGCAAACCAAAGTTATTCGGTTGGAAAGAAGCGACGGGAGCAGTCCATGCGAAGCCGTCATCTGCAGGAGTGCTGTTCCAGTGGAAGCGGTTAACTCGTAGCGACATCTTGTCATAAGAATTGGCGTACGAGATAACCTGCTCTATCGCGTCCCCCCAGAAGAAGACGTCTTGAGTACCACCACGGGCGGCCCACTCCCATTCATCCTCTGTGGGCAGCCGGTAAGTAGCCCCGGTCATGGTAGAAAGCCAGGATGCGTAAGCCTCGGCGTCTTGTCTCCTGATTGCAACGACGGGCGAGTCTGATGTCTGGGTAAATCCTGGGTTGGTGTAGTTTAGGTCTTCATTGAAGACCATGGCAGTAGAGTTGTCTGGGTTCCACCAACGTGCTCCGCCTCGCAGCTGATAGTGGCTCTCACGGACAAAGGTATCAAATTGATTTACCGTGACCTCTGTTTTGCCGAATGCTAGAGGGGTGGTAATGCTAACTTTTCGTTGCGGCAGCTCAAAGTTTCGGCGATTTTGTGGGACCTTCCAAAGCTGTTGCTCTTGAGGAGTAGACCCTGCCGTGAAAGTTCCTTTCGGGATCACGACCATAACTGGTCCTTGAACAGCATCGCGGAACTCAGTTCCTGGGGCACTTTGGCAGTTGATGCCTCGAGCAATGCTGCGTCCAGGTTGCGGAGCCCGGTAGGTAGAGGGCAGCTCCAGTTTCTTGTTGATCTCGTTGATTGTAAATCGCCATTCGTCGACACTCCCCGTTAAAAACATAGGGGTATCTAAAGCACCAGGCTTATAGTTTGCAGATGCTGACAAATCCACGAGGTATTGGCTCTCGGCAATGAGGCGCTCAAGGGTTTCGGAAAACTTGTCAACTTGCGGAATTGCAGTCTGATCTTCTCTCGCAACCGAAATGAGGGTTGAATGTGCAGAAAGAGCCGCCTGTTGTATAGGTACATAAGTGTCGTGAGTATTGCCGTTCCATCGTAAAGAATTGGCGAGTGAAGATAGGTCGGCTCGTAGCTGAGTGACATGACGCGAATGAGCTGCCACGATACCCGCCGTCATCACAAGCAATCCCAGAAACGAGCTAGCGTGTAGTGACTGTCCTCGGTGAGAACGCATTACATCGAAAAAGCTGATGGTTTCTTGCAATAAGCCTCGTCTTGTTGCTCAGAACTGCTAGAGGAATTTGATGTCTTGATTCAAGATGCTTGGCGGTGACTTGCATACATCTAAAGGGCTTGTTTTAGATCTGACGTGAAGGTACAACTGAAATGATTTTGGGAGGGTTAGCTTTACCGTTATATATTCCATCATGGCTATCCCAGCGACTCCACATTTCATCGGAAGAAATTTGCCATTCTTGCAGTAAGAGAAGCAATGAGAAGTATGTTGTTTACCGAATCACGGTGTATTTCTCACAGGTCAAATCATGAGCATAGAACTCATACCTTTGACAAACTATTGGCAAAGGTCGGGGCTCTGTTTCGCCGTCTAGAGTAAATGCCCGGATATGCCAAATGCGGCCCTAGAAATTCTGCGCACTTGGTAAGGTGCAAATTCATCCGCACTAACACGATAAAGTTTCAGGCTATTTAGATAGAACCTATGACAACATCCCGCTTAATATGGAAGGCGGCTCAACCGTGCTGCATTGACAGGCAAACAAAAACTACCTACAATACTTTGTATTCCACTTAGGCTGAAGCTAGTACTCTTGTCGGCAAAGTTATCCGACATGGACGCCGAAACCGTCCGACACCGCGAGGCGAAGATGTCGTTGCTGCACACTTACGTCGTTTACCTCCACAATGCCCCATGAAGCTAGACCTAAAGTATTAAACGAAGATTCCATTGCTGCGTCGAGACGGAGGATGCCGAAGAAATGGTTTTCATGGGCTGACACCTCGCTCCCGCCCTTCTTTCCCTTGCCGGCTGGCACCTCACGGGATGCCCTATGGGTCGCAATTTGATGACAAGTAGTAGTTACATGTTTGATCGACCTTACTAATCCAATTTGCAACGGCCGAGTGCCTGCTTGCACCGCAAAGATGGGACAGTGGCTTCTAGAGCGCTGACCGTTCCACTGATATCCCTTTTAAACTACTGCGGGATCAAGACCGCCATTGGTGTTCAACGGCTAAGAGCTTCCTGATGACTGTATGTTTGCCTGATCACGGGTAGCAGTTCCGACGAAGGGCTATACTACAGTCGACCGAAACACCTCTATGAATGGGTTATGTCACGAAGCCTACCTTACTAGGACTTTTAACACGGCTCTATTATAGTACATAATACTAACGGGCATATTTAAAGGTCTAGCGGACAACTCCTATCCTAAAAAAGGGCACTTTAAACTTAGGTGAAGCTAAAGGTTAATCTATCTTTATTTAGAACTTATAAATAAATAGTTCTATTTTATTTAACTTATAGGTATATAAAGATAAAAAGAAGTTAGTACTAATATTATATTACTATTTAAATTAGAGTTAATTTAAGATTAAAATAAATAAGAATAATAATAACTTTAAAAAAAGAAAAGTAAAAATGTAATATAATATTTAGTCTATAAGTCTTCTTTACTAGTTTCTAAAGTTTCTATACAGCCTTATACTTATTTATAAAGTATTCTAGTTTTCTATAATTATAATAGATTATATTTATATTTTTATAAATACTATTAAGTTCTATACAGTTTAAATAAGTTCTATAAACTATAGTTCTTTATATAGATCTTTTAATATTAAGTTAATATTAAAATAAATCTAAATTTTATTTCTATACTCTTTTCTTTATATTTTAGCTATTACAAATAAAGTTAATATAGTGTACTAGTGACAGTAGTGGACGTTACGCCCGCGCAGGCGTTAGCTTCTCGCACAATGCATCCATAGGCGCAGGACAAGTTGGCGCTAGGGTCCAGCGCGGCAGGCCGTCCGTCGGCTAATAACTCAAGATATTGCACACTGCCCAGCGACTAGCAAAACGCCGGACCCGCTCGTCGGGTCTTAAGCTCTGAGTCCTCGTTCACGTAAAGCGTTTAGGCCACAAGGGGCAGACAAGAAACCCTCCGCTTCCTGTCGCTTGTTTATTTGCGCTTCAAGTCTGTGTTCCGTTTTGCGAAGCATGCGAGTGCTAACAAAAGTCAACACATCGACGTTATTGCTCGTGACAGGGACGATATAGACCCCGCCTCTGTCCGTACACACCACCACGCTAACGATACTGCATAGCTTCTATCAACGTCGCTGGAGCGTCTCACGCTAGGCGTTGGGTTTCCACTGCATTTGGTCGAACACGGGCGGCGCGGACCAGAAGATTGGCCAGCACACTATGCAACTCGCCCTTTTGTCCTCGATGTTGTGTGTTGGGCCCAAGAAAGCCAGTGCTAGGCTGAAGCGAGTACATAGCTAATGGGTGGATCCGCACTGCGGCCACCGCCGACGACCGACTGACAGGCTTCTCAAAGGTCATGAGTGGCTGGGCAGCCCACAGCATGGCTAGCCTAGGGCAAGAACTTTTGCTCGCGTTCTTGCTGCAGGAACCTCACTACAGCTTTTTATTATTAGGTCAACAACATTTCTTTAGCATAGATGAAAGCAACTGATTAGAGTAGCAGGTTGTGTCACAGCCCCACATCGATCAGCTCCGCAGCGGAGCCGGCAAAAATATGGCATACTTCTACAGTAGCTCCCCATTATCGGGGCCACAGTTGTAATTTCTGCCTCACCCACTCTCGTGCAGATGAGGGAACGAAAGGGTGTATCTCGTCAACACCTCACTGGTTACCGAGTATCTGGTCTAACGAATAGTAGTATAGAGACATGATGAGACTGCACGGTGCCAATTCTTTCCGGCATAGAGCCAACGCGAACGTTTAAGCGCAGTACATGGACAAACTCAACCTCCCTGCAGCCCTTCTTCCTGCAGCGCAGCCGCCGCCAGCCTATGAAATAAAGTATGGCGGTGGGTGGTGGTAGGACGGTTACGGAGCCGCTCATTGATTAGGAAATCTACGATCTCTTCCCCGCCAGCCGTTCGCAGTACTGTGGCGCTATTAGCGCCAGATCTGACAAGAGACAAATCTGTATTTACCATGGGGGCATCGCTCTAAGTGGTAACGCTGAGGCTGGGGCTATCGACCCACAGAACTACTGCCCGGAGGACTTTGCTTGGCTTGGCCGATAACTGGGCAACCCCTGTCTGGAAGGGGAAGCTTGAACCTCTCCGGTCGCCCCTCTCCTCCTCCCACGGTTGTTGACTCGCCTAGCTCGGTTGGTTCGTGTGGTTCAGTACTTTGAGGCTTATAGCTCCCTTGGATCTACTTCAATGCTGAGTCTAGCTTAGCTACTCGCACTTTAGAGATAATCTTCGCGTAATAGAAGTCAGCTTTATGTAGGTTTAGAAGTATCTACCCAGGTATCTCCGAGGGTGCGGGGGGTCTTGCTGCAGTAGAACAGGTGGATTAGAGATTTAGGGCGCCTGTATGGGCAGTTGAGATTAGCGTCTTCTTGCTGCAGAGGGCGGCGGACAAGCGGGTGGTGGGTGTCTAGCCGTGCCCAGCTGTTCGTATTATGTGCTGTAATCTACTCTAGCAACAGTTTTGCTTGCGGGATGCTAGCTTCTTTCTATAGTATAGTCTTTATTATTATTTTCTATAAGAGTATAAATACCTAATAGGCTACTATTAGTGTCTTTTAAATACTTGTAGGATGCCCTTTTAGGATTCTCTCTACTCTTAGATATTAGACTATATAGAAGAGTGTTTATATAAAGACTATCTATATAGTAAAACCCTCTTATTTAGAGCCCTTACTATGTACTCATACACTTCTATAAAAGTAATATTTAGGTGAGTATATACACTAATAGAGTGTATACTTCTCTATAATAGTAGCTTAACCCTAAATCTATAGTTAGTCTATTTTTAAAGAAAAGAGTTAGTTTAAATATATAAAGTACTAATAAGTAGTTATTATTATAAAAGTTTTATTAAAAATATCGTCTAATTATATAATTATTATTTAGATTAATTAATAGAGATTTAGTCTAACTATTTATTAAAAATCCTTTTCTTTATATACTTATCTTCTTTTTTACTATAATATTTAGATTATTATAGTTTACTTATAAGCCTAGTAATTTTATATTAGTACTAGATTACTATAATCCTTAATAATAAACAAAGGGATTTCTAGTAGATAATTAAACTAGTGTAACGGTGGCTCTTCTCTAATCCACAGTAAATCTGTTTCTTAGGAAGTGAGTCAGGTTGAATGCACCACAGGTGCAGATGAGCAGTATCGTAGCTTGAGTCACGTTTAGGAGATTACTCCCAATAGTAGAACTATTGCTTAGATTGATCAGTAGAGATCTAGTCTGGCTATCTACTGGGAATCCCCTTCCCTATATACCCTTCCTATCCTCTACTGTGCTACCTGGATCACTGGCTCACGCTGAGGTCGTGATCCTTTCTTGGCTCACTGGCTCACGGTGAGCCCGTTAGATCTCTACTAATTAATCTAAATAATAGTTCTATTATTAAGAGACTTCTTTTAAGTATAATTTTACTATAATAACTACTTATTAGTACTTTATATATTAAAACTTACTCTTTTCTTAAGAAATAGACTAACTATAGACTAGGGATTTAGTCTATATTATAAAAAGAGGGGGCGTATATAAAGGATTTAAACTATACTTACTCTCCCTTCTAAAAAATAGTATAATACATAAAGTGTAAATAAACTATAACTAGTCTATAAGTACTTTATAGTAGAAATTATAGTCTAAGTAGTATAAAAAGAGCAAAAGACCCTTTATACTCCTTTCCTCCTTAAGAGAATTAATAACTATTATAACACTTATTTATAGCCACTAGTTTAAGGTGCAGAATACAATAGAGAGAGAAGAGTAGACCGGGAATAGTAGTAGTAGTAATGCTGGCGCTAAGGATAACGTGTAGCGATAGTAGCTAATAAAAAGATAAAAGAGGATAACTAGAAAAGCTAAGCGCGTATACTACCGTCGCCACGTCGGGTTAGCGACCATATTCGGGATCAACCTGAGGGAATGTCGTCATCACGCTCAACTATCGTGTGGGTGTTGCTGAGGCCGCCCACTCAGAGTCTTATTATGGCATATCGTCCCTGCTTGCTAGCTTGTTGGCCTGCAGGTTGGCAGTTTAAGAATAGTGGCTTCTACTCGGCTGCTGCGTGAGTCTCGTTTCGCCTGCTCACACAGAGTGTTATTTATGGCATCTCGCACCTGCTTGTTAGATACGTCTGCACGCAGGCTGGTAGTTTTAAATATACTTAACTACTACCACGTGAGGTGTTGCTAAGGCCGCCCGCATAGAGTGTCGTTTTAGTATATCGCCCCTACTTCTATCTACTTATAGGTTAGTAGTTTAAATACACTTAAGTACCGTGTGGGTGTTACTAAGGCCGCCCACATAGAGTAGGGTACATCGCTGTCAAAATTTACATATCAGGATCGAGCACCATATGAGAGGCTTATCATTCGGTGTCTCTGACCACCACTTAAGGAGTTGCCTATGGTCGTTAGAACAGTCATGTGACCTTCGGCCAGTTGAGCAAGTTCCGTATCGAGGCCACATGCCTTGAACCGCAGGAGCCCACTAGATGGCGCGTTTTGCCGAGAGCCTCAACAAGCAGCATGACAACCTTGGTGACGAGCTGTGCCGTAAAAGGGCAGGTAGCAAGACTTTCTGTTGCGTGTGCTGTTGGGCGTACAACAACCAGATGGTGCGAGATTGTGTAGCATCAAAAAGTATCGAGAGTAAGAGATAGACGCAGAGGACGGTAGAAGGCCGAACGACGCGCTCGTGCTCAAGGTAGCTGATGGCAGCAATGACGAGCCCAGACGTTAAGCGCCGGGCGGATGAGACAATGCAGAGTCTGGAGGAAATAGGGTCATGGTAGAGGGACCATCAAGCGAGTAGAGAGAGGTGAAGAGCAGCAAAGGTGAAACAGGTGATCTAGCAGGAAGGATCAGTCGGGAGCTTGGTCTAATGGAGTTGGGGAGGATGACTTACAAGTTTGACGAAGTGGAGCAGCCGGCCAGCTACGTTGCGATTCTGGGTCTAGAGTTAGACTAGCTGGGGTATGGCGGCGCTCAGGAAAATGATCGCAAGGTCAGATTGCTCAAAGGCAAGAGTAAAATCAAACCGCGACTGCGCACCGCAGTGGCTTGCAGTCGGGCTCAACGAAGCGTCGCAATGGGAAGAAGTGCTTGTTCTAGTCATCGCAAAGAACGCTTCAAGAAAATGGCGTGCTTATGCTAACAGATTGTGGCGGCAGCAGATACAATATTGAACGATCAAACCATCGGGTTCGCTCGTTCACCTCCGCTCAGGTCGATGAGATGACCTGGCCAGTTTGCCAAATAGGCTGGCGACAGCGTTTTCACGATTTTATCACGTGATATTGTGTCTACAATGCAGGCTTGTGACAGTACTCTCAAACGGATTACAGCACTTCCTACCCTACTGCTCTAACGCCAACAGGTCACCGACGGTGCGAAAATCGCAGAAGTTGCATATAAAATGTACAATATATTGGTTTAGCGTAGGGAGGCTGACCTTCAACGCTTCTACTGACTCCACCTAACATTTTTATATTTCTACGGACCACCATCGCCTTTACACAAGCAATACGTAAGTCTCGTGCCAGGGTTTGTTAAGCGATAGTGGGGCCAGGAAACCTCCTCGGTCTTCGCAAACTAAACTTGGCTCCTTCATTTCCTCCATTTTCCTTATTCTGTGGTCAATCTTCCTCCTCCTTTCCCTCGACCCGGCGGCCTTCCAGACAAACTCAAAAGCTGCATAACAATTCTCACGATAGCAAGCTCTGTTCGCTTCCATCAGCACCCACGCCAGCGATCGGAATGATTATCACGCGCGCCGTTTCCCTTACCAACTTCGTGGTGGCCAGCACAGCCCTGGGCTTCCAGGTGTTTGTGTTGTACCCATGGCATAAGGAGCTGGACGAGAGGTTTGAAGAGCTCAAGAAGGAGCACCTGAAAGTCTTGGATGCCGTGGGAAACGGCATAAGCGAGCAGCAGCGAAAGACCTTGTCAGACGAGTTGAACGACCTAAAGAGCCGTAGTTCGAGAAGGTGGTGGTGGCTCTAGACATCTCTGTAAAAGTCAAACACAAGCTTGTCCTACTATCCTGTGCAGCTACTTACTGCTTTCAGTCTTAATTTCGCCGCTACACTCGCACCGAAAACCGGAGATACGACTAGAGCCGTTCTAGACAGCTTGATTCCAATCAACAACATCTTATCTACGCGCACAGCCTTATAGGGCATTGTACATGTCTCACTATTCGCAAGACAGGGTCTCGCTGGGGCTTTCTGCTGCGCATTCACGCATGCGATTCTTACTCCAGTGGACGTGTAAACACACTCCCCTCCCAGCAGCGCGACATGCTCTTGCATCGTCCGGGCCGTGTTAATGGCCTTGTACGGCATAGCTGTCTGTGTAATGTCACAACCGCTAAATGTCCCATCCATCTAGTGTAGAGACGCGAATCCAGCTTAACCCGACGACGTACAGCAGCAATGTCTGGAAAAGCGCAAGGCATATTGCCAAGTTAGAGGGGCTGGCGACAATACTGACAGGACTTGCGCCGACAGTTGCAGGGTACTGCTTGCAGGGCGTGTTGGAGTTTGGCGGATATGAGTCAAACAGCCAGATGATTGCCAAACAAAAAGATCGCCACGCCGCCGAAAAAAAAATATTGTTATGAGAAGCCAGTTTCGCGAAGTCACCCCTGCTCCCTAACATCGCTTGCCCATACTAGAGAGGATGACAAAAGCTCCATGACAAAGCTGTACTGGTACGAGCATTCAACAACGGAAGTGCGTGGAACAGACACAACGCTGCAAGTCCCGCCAAGCTGCAAGGATCGAGAGTCAAGGCAAATCATGGCCTTGGCTTTAACTTATTGTACCACGGTCCAATACAAGTTGCATGGAATTTTCGATAGCGTGGCGTGGAAGTGTGGAGGCTGAGTGTGCCGATTCTTCGAGCAAGTGAGCTGATATGGGTTGTTTAGGTATCGACTCCGAGCCTAATTCGGAAGCAGGAATGGCGCTAAATTTCGTGGGAGGGCCAATTCCGAGACACTGCCCAAGCCTTCGGCGGTAATTCGGGACTGGCGCCCATCTGCGTCGTATTCGGCCGACGATAAGTAAACAGGAGAAACATGATGGGTAATGACCTGTGTGTCTCACATTGGTGCCTTTTCTTTTTTCTTCTTTTTTTTTGTATTTCAGCTTCCTCCCGTCCCGCTGCAGACTAGCCAACAATGAAATTCTGAGCTAAACTAATGCTATACCGCGCTAAGTTGAACCTTATTCGGTCGTAGATTGTTAGGCTTCTAGCTGATGGATCCTGATGTACCAACGGCAGCGCGGCTCCTGCCGGCGCGTGCTGCGAGCATATGACAACGCGTGCAGGCTTAAATTCCACGAATCTGCAACAAACTCTCCACTCCGCGTGCTATGTATATGTTCACACCTTCTTCTGCCTACTCTAAATTCACGTTTGTACTATAAGATCGTGCCTTTTTTTGACCAGTGTTATAGCCAGTACTACCTTGCTTCGCCCACATGCCGTTTAGGGAGGTATATCTACTGCTATGGGGAGCACATCTGTCCCGCTCCCCATTGCCCATAAAAGCGAGCCTCCACAGCCAGACACCATAGAACGCCCTACCTCTCTCGGCCTCTCTCTTAATCAAGCGAAACTGGCTATTTTATGTGCTCACTGTGGTTTTGCTTTAAAAGCTGACCTTGATCGCGTGTCTCGTTAGTTCGGCGGGAAGCCTACTTTCGGGAGATGCAAGGAATGGCCTGAACGGGCTCGTCAATGTGCTTCGGCTCCCAAATCCTCGCCAGCTGCCACCCAGGCAAGACGGGCGCTCACAGCATCCACACTTGGTTTTGGAAAGTGCCGCGCGCTTGTATTATCTGTGGCTTGAAATCAAGCCACTGTTACTCTAAGAGTACTTATGAAGGTTCCACAAGAGAGCTAAATACACTGCCCGCCATCATGTCATGAGGCACAACCGATCATGGCAGCGCATTGAATAAAAGCCTTCCGTTTTGGCGCAATTCTTCCGGGTCAAGATACGCGGATGATGGAGGCGGCCCAGTGTGTATGCCACTACCGGACCGTCGGCTTGGCCATCATATTTGATATCAGCCGGAGGGAGGCTAGTAAAAGAGCTAGTCAGCCGTTCGACGCGCGGGTGCAGAGTAATTTATGGCGGCGATACAAGGAAACGCGGATGCAGACGATACATACCATATAGCGCGCCGAGCAGATTAATGACGAGAAGCGGCCACCGTGTGTGATAACAGAGGATTGGGGCTATGGATGGGATGTATGGGAGAGCAGCGCCTAAGCACGCAGCAAGGCGGCATTGAGACAGGCCCGGTAGGAGGCCTAGATAAGACAAGATGCAGTATATGCCTAGGCAGTTGACCCCCGACGACGCGAGCACGGGTCAACAGCGTGGGCAGTAAAGCATACTGGGAACTGAGACGGAAGAAGTGGACGACAACGAGTTGGACCAGCAGATATTAGCAGCGATATGCATGTGTTAGACCACGACATAAGGACGAGTACAGCAACGTCATCATCAGCGCCATGGCCATAAGGGGGATGAAGGATATACTCTACTGATTTCAAAAAGTACTTTGGTTTTAACTTTATTAACGTTTTATTGTTTATTAAAATAGTAAGTAAAATACTTAATATCCTGTTCAAAACTAAGTATATATAAATATAAGAACATTAATTAGATTTAGTATAAAATATATTTATTTAAGACTATAAAGTTATAAAACTTAAGGGTACTTAGAGTAATAAAAGTAGCTTATGTATATGTTCTATTTACTAGCTGGTTAAGTAGATCCTTGGGAAAAACCTAGTATAAACCCCACTCAACATCCTGCTGCTTTACTGTGCCGTCGCACTTCATCCTTCCCTTGGCGCCTACCCGTCCGCTCCCGCCAAACCGATCAATGGAGTCACGGATCAAGTCCACAATGTCCTGCCCGCCGACGTGAAAGTCAATGTTCCCATTCTTGCCCTTGCCCTGCACGCCAAACTTGCAGCTCCCGTACTGGTCCAGCTGGTGCTGGCTGCCGATGGCGTTTTCCACCTCGTGGTCCGCATGGCCGTCGCCGTTTTGCAGGTTCTTGATGAGCATCTCGCAGTCGGAGACGAGCGGCGACGCGCCGCTCGTCTGGTCGACAAAGGTCGAGTCGCCGCAGCGGTCCGGCAGCTTGAGCGCGACGCACGGGTAGTTGGGCGTCTTGAGGCGCGAGTCGCCGCCGGGGCCGTCCCAGGCCTTGAAGGCGATCTCGGGGCTGCACACGGGGATGCGGATGAAGCCGGGGGTGGTAATGTCCTGCTTCAGCAGGTCGTCCGTCGTGACGCTGTCTCGCGGGTCCGCTGGGGGCGCGCCGTTGCTGTTGCCGTTCTTCTTGTAAGTGCGGACGGCTCTACTTGAGCATTAGCCACTGCTTTTGTATGACCTCATGCAAGGTTCCATGGTTCCCCTCCTCCGTACAAGCTTTTAGTATGTAAAGAGCTTGCGTAGGAGGGGTCATCGAGCCTGCCACCTCTAGAAAGACTCACCCAGTAATAAGCTCGGACAACTTCACGCCACCAAATAAATCGCTGCCCATGGACCCAATGCCAGCGGGAGCAGAAAATTTGTTTCTCACCTTGTGCGTCCCCGGACCGGTCGGGTTCTGCACGTTGTTGTAGGAATCGCCCTTTGGAATGACCAGGTAGTACAGCTTGTCCTCGTAGCAGGACCAGGTCTGGCGCATCGTGTCAACGTCCATGTACGTGCCGAGAGGGTCGATAGTGCCGCACGCGTAGCCCGAATCGACCACAAATGGGTGCGTGCCGGCGGCGTCCCACACGGCCGGGATCGCGTACGCGTAAAAGGCCTTGGCCATGTTCGCCTTGAGGGCGGTCGCCGACTGGAGGGTGACGTCGTTGACGTTGGGTATGCTCTGCTTGCTACCGGCGATGAGCTTGCCATCCGAAATGATCGTGGTCAGCGCGCTGATGGCCTCGTCCGAGCCGTTGAACAGCCAATTCGCCGAGCCTTCGATAGAGGCGGTCCACAGGTCGACCGTCTGCGCCATGTACGCCGCAAATAAGTCTTGCTTGTCCTCGGTCCAGTTGCCGGCCCTGCAGTTTTCGGTTTGTCGCGTCAGTTACTTTTGTGCGGCCGCTGCCAGAGAGCTCTGCTCTCACAGACGGGAGCTGAGTTGCTTACGGAGACTTGCCGTCGAGGAGATCCTTTGCTACGCTCGTGGTGCCAGAAATCAGTGCCATTGTCGTGTCTTTCAGGTTGGCGGCCGTTGCCTCGTTAGCAATAAAGTAGGGCATCTTTGACAGGACTATAAATAGCAGACTTTTAGTTAGCATCATCAAGCTTCACAGCTATGCAAAGAACGTAAAGGAAATACAAAACGCACAAGAGTTGAAGAATGGACCAGCGACCAGTGTTGATCCTAGACCAACCACGTCCAAAAGAATGTTGAGCCACTTTGTGTCGTCCTTTGGCGGAGGGACAGGGGCAAACGTCTTGACGAAAGCTCTCATCTCTCCCGTTATGGTAGTCGCACCGGCGTCGTGGAGCGCACTGTAGAACGAGGCATACATCTATGTGTCGTGAGCGGTCGGTGCCACCGATTAAAAAGGTCGAGGAGAACTCAATGGACCGAATCATCCGACTTACCTCATGTACGAGAACTAGACTGTTCCAGATCTCGTAGCCTGCTGGACCGGTCCCGGAGCCGACAATGTCGGTACAATGCTGGATCGACTCGCAATTGTTCCATTGAGCCAGACTACCGCAGTGCGCCTGCTCAGTAGCGTGGATTGTGTCGGAGACGGACTGTGAGAACTCACGGTTCGTCTTCCGGTCAATCGTCTTGTATACCTCAATAATGTCATCCCAGGCGTCCGGCGCGTCCATCATCCGCCAGCGTTGCTGGGGGCTCAATCCGCGCAAGTCAGCCACGCTGCGGTCGTCGCACGGGATCTCGGTCCAGTTTCCGTGCCTCTTGCCATAGTCCCACGGGTCGTTTCCTTGTCTTGCCTTGATGACGAAGCTCTGCCAGTTCCCGATTCCCGGGGGCGGATCCACGTAGTTTTCCAGGTCAATGGCCCAGTTTGACGTGCCACCCATGCTGAAGGCCTTGTACACAGCAGTCCTGT